TCTGCCTTTTGGTTAGAATAGTTAAGTGGTCCTAACTCCTATTCTATTCTCCTTGCTTTGAATATAAACACTCCAATGTTTCCATTGGGTGGGAGGGTAACTTGGGTGTGTTGTAGAGAAGAATTAATGATGAGGAAAACATCTTTGTAGTAAAGATTAATGCAGAATAACTTGCATTTAAAAAGAAAAGCTTTTGCTGCCTGTATTCTGTGGCTGTTGAGCTGAAATATCAGTGACATGAATGCATGTCAGGGTTTTTTGAAGTGTCTGCAATGTACAAATAAAACACTAACCAAGATGCTGAAATCCAAATTTTATTTCCAGTCTGGGACCATTGGCTTGTAGAATCCATATTTCTCCCCAATACCTGGTTATATGTTGCTTTTACCTCCAAAATGGCTTGCTTATACCTCAGCACTGGAGTATGTTATGATTTAAGTGTTGCTATTGTTTTGTTCTCACGATAGTAGCTTATTTTTATAAAGTTGGTTAATGACTTTCTATTCCTACCCAAATGGTCTGGCCAGCTTTTATAGATGGCCGTAGGTCTTGAGCACAGCACGGGTCTTTCTTTTTTTCTAAATGATTTGATCTATATGCATATTGCCTTAACTTCACTACCTTTTTCACTTTCTGTACACACAATTCCAAAATACTCTTAACACAATTCTCATGTGCTGCTTAAAACAGCAGCTATGAAATAATACTGCATTTAAAGCTGGTTCTAAAATGTGTTGCTTCAACTAGATCTCCTGAAATAGTCTTGTCTGCATGTCTTGGCTTTCTTTTGATACTGTAATATGACACTTGAATAGTCACTACAATAAATGGTGACTTCACAATGCATTTAGAAAAACTTAAGTTTGAAAGATGACTTTGTCCTGGGTTTTAATTCTAGGTTACAGTTTAACAGGTTGTCACGTTTAACTGTCAGTTTTGAGTAAGGAAGAAGACATCCATATATAGTAAGGGTAGCCATGTTCCCTAAATACTGCAAGCCCGGTTATGATGTAAAGCAAAAGTTGGTCTGCATATAAGACTGAATTCAGTCTTAATTCTGTTGGACAGCGTTCTTTTAGCAAAATATTGACAGTGGATGTTGGTGTCTGTTTTTACTTGGCATTTTTTTTGCCTTCTGGAATAAGTATGGGGGTGCTGTAAACTAGCTCTCTTACAGAATTATGATCAGTAAAAGGTGATAGAAATATAGCAAACTTACTAACCTTCTGGTAAGAAATATGTAAATTGGTCTTTCAGACTAGTTATGTTAATTCACTGGATAACCAAATAGAAAGTGCATTGTACAGTGCATTGTTAATGTCTAAATTTTTGGATTTCTGGGTTGGAGGGGGACGTTCTTACAGAAGTATTCACTACTGGTAAAGGTATTCTGTCTCCTCTACATATTGCTCCACTTAGTCTGTGGCAGCAAACTTGGTGCTAGTGACCAGTTTCTCTGCACCCCTCTGCCTTCCTCTAATACGTTGTTTCTAAATGCCAGTATTGCCTCGATGGTTTTCAGAAGCAAAATCCTCAAGTGTTACTAAAAAAAGAACTGTGACTTCTCACAGAAAAGACCTTGTCTGTTCATTTAAAAATTAATTGTAGATGCAGTATGCATATATAAATATTGGATAAATTATAATGTAAGTTTACTCTGATTAATAAAGAAACTTAAATCTATTCAGATTTGCTTTGTCTACCTGGCTACTAAAACATCTAAAAGCTTTTTTGTCTTTTGCCTTCCAGCATGAAGGTAGTGAAAGTGGTAGCGCTCAAGTGGAATGCACTGTAGGTTCAGTCTGTGGCTTCTTTCTTTTCTTTTTTTAAGAGGGGTTTCTAGAAGAAGGCAGCAATTAAGGCAAAAAAACTTTTTGTTAAACTTTAAGTAGATTTTTGTGCCCTCACCTACCACAAAAGTAACGCTTGATTTAAGGTAAAAGTTCACAAACCTTTATGCTTCATTTAATTTTAAAGTATGAGCACTCCATGGCATCTGTCCGCTGCTTTCACAGCTAAAAAAAACTGTGAATGCTAAATAATGTATCTGTTAAATTGATACTTTGAGCTGCAAAGACTAATACTTTTTCCTTTAAGAGGAGAGAAACCTAAAGTCCTTTCAGTGTGTATTTTTAAAATTAGCTGATGCCAACACCAAAGAGCAGAGGAAGTCAAGGGAAAGTTATTTTTAAAAATAGGGTTTTTAGAGAGATCAAGTATTGGTGGTAGGCCCCTTCCAGGTGTCGACTTGTGGCTCAGCTCCCCGAGTAGATGAACGCTGGCTTTCATAGCCACTCTGCAGTCTCACTTATTCTAATTTGTAGTGGGGTATGGACTGGATATGAAACCCTTGATCTGGAGAGTAAGGTTGTTCTACTGTCTCCACTTGCATGGTTCTAACCTACATGGTGGCTCTTGCTCATGACTTGGTGGTAAACTTAGGTCCCTGTTGCACATTTACATGTATTATGCAATTAACTGGTCAATTTTGCAACTAATTTAGACTAGCTGCAGGTATAAAGTAATTATCGCATGATAAAATGACTAGCTATAAAGTTTAGTGCTTGAAAAATGTGTAACAACTCTCTAGCTGGTTTCTATCCAGCTTTTATTTTTAAGGTATAGCAGGGCCCTTGGTTAATATGAATGCAGCAATGTTGTATTTGACAAACTGCTTTAATCTAGGAATGTTCTGAGGAAGAGCTGGGTGAAGAGCAGGTGGTGAGAGACTTGGACTTAGTCCTGATTTTTCCCTTTGGGTGGGTTTGCAATACGCCCTGTTCTAGCTCAGACTTCCATGCCATTCTCTTAGTTCTGCTGTCGGGTTGAAAATGACTTAAATGGGTTTGAACCAATGAAAAATTACAGAAACTTGGCCACTTTATAGAGTTTCATATTTTATAACTGGACTTTTTTTTCTTTCTTCTCACTTGCTCAACTGTGCTGATGCCCAGTCTTTGGGCGGTCTGTCCCGAAGGGGTCGGAGAGGTCTAAGAATAGTCATTGCTGCTGTACTTGGAACCCAACATTTTACTTCCCTGTGAGCTGAGTCAGCAAGAGCTGCTGGCTGGTCACACCCTTCTTAACAGATGGGTGAGCAGCAGCTGTGGTGGTGGGAGTTGATCAAACGACTAGAATTTTTGTCCTCCTTTTCAGTGGCTCCTAGAACAAAATTAAAAATTGCACTATGGACCCTAAATCAGTATAAAAGTTCTAGTAACTGGGTGCTTGGTGCGTACTTGATATGCAGCTCAGTTTATTTAAGCATTCCTGACTCAGCTTCTTTTTTAGCTCTGTTGGCTGCTACTCCTGCCACTTTCCCTCTTTTAGAGTCTGTTTTGTGCAATCTGTGGAGTTTGCTTGTACTTTAGTCTGTACCATGGTTCCTTTTCAAAGCCAGGTAACTTTCCCATTTATACTTTCCCAAAGAATGGTACAAAGTCACTTTTTCTTAGCAGACCTGACGACTTTTCCAAAACTGCTCGACTGAAGTACTTGTGACCTGTGCCAAGAACGCTTGACGGTAAATACCCATGTAAAAAGCTACCACTAGGGTACAGCAAAGGATGCACGAACCTGCCAACTGCTCTTGTGCCTCCTGGGCGTTGTGTTTAAAATGGGTGTGAGCGCAATGACTCGATGCAGGAAGCGCTTGAGTCTAGATCTCTCCCAGGGCCTGCGTTCTCCCATGTCACAGTCACTCCCGCCTCATCCAGGAGGCGTAGGCCCAGCCCTTGAAGGAAGATGCAGTTCTTCTTTCTTGCCTCTGTAAAATGAGCAGCTTCCCACTTTAAAGCTAAAAACAAGCTTTAGTTCAGTACTCCCCTTTCCTGGGCCTGGGGCAGGGGGGTGGATTGCTTCAATCTTTCCCTGCCTGAAAAAGGAGGATGAATGCTTTCAGGACCCCTGGTAAAGAGACCATCTTTTATTAGACCAACACTTTGCAAATAAACCCCAAAAATCTTTAATTGCAAGGATCGTGGCTTTGCTTTTATTAGAGCAAGATTTTGCAAAAAAAAACAACCCCCCCCAAATTTTAATTACAAGGAACAAGGCTCGTGTTCTTTTTTGGGGGGAGGGGGAAGCCTTGATCCTTGCAATTAAAATTTGGGGTGTTGTGTTGGTTTGTTTGCCAAATTTTGCTCTAATAAAAGTCAACCCTAACCTTTAACTGTAAGGAATGCTTTGCTTTCCTTTGTGTTAAGGTTTCTTATTTTTTTTCCTCCCCAGGGACGCGGCTCGCACTCGTTACAGAGTTCATTTACAACCAGGCTCCAGTTCTGCGCCCCTCTCCCCGTGCACCCCAGCTGTCAATCACCCCTCGCCTCGCCACGCGGGTTTCCTCATTGGCCGCTCGCGCTCCGCCCCGCCCCTTCCTCCCCTATGCCTTTTAAACGGTCTCCGGCGACCCTCTTGGCGGAAGCGACGCCCCTTTTTCCGCTCCGTCGCCCTCTCATTGGCTCCGCCCGCTGCCCATCCGCCGCTGTGACGCGCACCTCCCCCCCACCCAGGAAGCCCCGCCCCCACCGCCTGAACTCGGCTC